ATAAAGGATTTCATGATTGATTTTGACCACACCTACTTTGAATTTACACATGGCTCTTCCAGACCCAGTAATGGCATTTATGCTCCTTTCATCTGTAAACCTTCCTGAGAAGGATGCACACTTAATAATGTCAGCATTGAAGAAGTCTTTTAAGAATATGAAGGAGATAATTAAATATATTTTTGGCCATTCAGTTACTCCTTCAAATACTGATAAATGTACCCCTCAGCCTGAAATAAAGATGGAAAGTCAGGACACGCTTTTTACATATAGATTCAGACATGAACTGAATCTGTAAAGAAACTGACTATTCTCTGTTTGATTGGAAATAGGTCAGAAATAACTACTGCTGTTGTTAAATGTGAAATACCTTTTAATTTAAGCAAAAATTCAATGAAAAAAGCAAACATGATTTTGAATTTTCAAAATGACACTCTGTTAGAAATAGAACAATTAAACTACAACTTCAGGCCATTATTCTTTATCTCTATAGATAACTAGATAATGTTACTTGTAATTTGATCATGTTCTCAAAAATGAAGGATATAAATAAAATAGCCAACAAATTGCATAAGCAGTTTGGTCACCTTAATCCCCCGAAACTCATAGTTGATTCATGATGCAAATATAAATAATCATAAACTTGAACATGAAATTAAATCTGTATCAGAGATGTGTAAAACTTGCACGAAATTCAAAAGAACCCCTCTCAGACCCATTGTCATTCTTCCTATAACAACTGAATTTAATGAAATGCTGGCTTTGGATCTGAAAATATGGGACAAAAGTTACTTTCTTGTGATTGTGGATCTGGCAACTTGTTTTTGTGCAGTGATGGTGATTCAAAACAAAATGGCTTCCTTTGCTAATCTAAGTGACAGAGGTTCCCAGGGAGGGTATATAATATTTTTTGCTGGTGGTAACAGCAACTATATGCCTATTTTCTGGCAATCATGATGTATAAAGAAAGTTGTCAAGAGCACGCAAGCTGCCAAGACACTGGCAGTGGTTGACATGGCTGATACATGTATATACTACAAGAAATTTCTTCTTGAATTTTTGGGTTTTGAGGATGTTTGTGAAAAACATCCCTGTTATATGCAAAAAAGATAATTCTGATGTTTGCGAATCAGCCTATTCTAACACTCAAGATTCAGGATAAGACTTAAAATTGCATGAAATGTTGATCAATAAAGAATTATCTGATATTAAATGAGTGCCCACAAGTCAGCTGACTCATTTACGAGGCGGTATGTTCGCTTATCCAAGATTCTTGGACATATTATGGAGCCCAAAGAATATTTGATTTAGGTCTTATAAAATTTCTTTGTTGCCTGTCTTATGTACTCCGTGTGCCTCTGAAGAAATGGGGGAAGTGTTCATGCTGCAGTTATTGCCCTTGTCTTTTGGTTGTTCAGTGCCACCAGGTGGTGCCTTCTATAAAATGCTGGCAGCCATATTGAAAATGTTTCATTTGTTCAGTTGTCAATATTCAGACTAACAGGAGGATTACCTTATTGCAAATGCAATTGATTCATTGAGGTTTAATAGAATTTTTACCTATTATGATGAATGGGTGTTCTCTCAAGGGGAATCTCTGTCTTTATGCATTATTGGGATGGATATTCACCCCAGACTTCAAATGGAACTGACAATCTATCATTAAAAATGAGAGGAAAATTATTAGTTCTTTGTAGCACTTCAGTAAGTACCTGACACTTCCTGCTATGTTCTACCATTACAGAAAATGGGATGCTGCTGTCATATCTGGGCCAGAGCTGCATCATCCTCACTTTGGAGTTCAAAAGCATCTACATTGCCTTGTAGATGATTGCTTCCCACTCTACAATTCCTTTCCCACAGATGGTGCAAACCTGTTGCTATTTCCATGGCAAATGTTCTGACATGCTACAATGCTTAGTTCAAACAGTTCTAACCTTCACAGCTAAGATTGGCCATACCACATACTCTGGCACTTAAATTCCATTTGCATTCCATTAGTAAGAAAGTTCCATTTGGTCAGCTTCCTTCCAAGAATTCCTACTTTTTGGAACACTCCCAAGAGGATGCTTCCTTAACCACTACAATGTTAACCTCAAGTCTAGATTTAACTTATCTTTCCCACATATCCTCATAAACTGCTCTTACTCTTACAAAAACCTTCTTCAGTAACACTCAAAAACCTTCTTCAGTAACACTCTACCTTAAATGGTTCTTGAGCCATGTATTGTGAACATGAGTAGAAAAATTTATCTGGACATTAATTTGTAAGCAATATTTTTCATTCTTGTTTTTTATTCCATGTTTTGTAAATGTTAGAAATTAATATTTCATTTCCAGCTACTTTTTCACTTTATCTCATTTTAATAGGTAGACTTTGAGGCCAAATCTCCTCATCAATAATTAATATTAATCATATAGTTTGAACATTATAGAGTGAATATTACAAATTCAAATTCCAGCCTCCTCTCTTTTTTTTTTTTTTTTTTTTTAAGACAAGGGGTGGATTTTTTATTAGTCCAATGGATTTTATTACTTAAATGTTATTTTTAATGGATACTCATATTTGAATAGAAGCTCCATTTATTTATTAAGCACTATATTTAGTTTTGCTTATCAGCATGAATATTCAAGAAATCTTATTAGAGAAAAATATGTGCTCTTCTGCAGGATGCAAACCTGCATTTCCTAGGGGAAACTGTCACTTAGATCTCGCATGCTTTTGGGATTTATTTTTGTAGGCTGAGCTGTTTTCTTTATTTTCCATGATATTTTTGGTATAATTTTGTTATTGTTTATAATTTTTCATATATGTTTAGAAATATTTGTGCTGTTTGCATACTTACTATTTGTAAAGGATGTTTTGTGTGCATAGTTTCTTTGTTTCCAGGGTCTTTCAGTTACTCCTATGTATATTTTTTTATCTGTTGACTTTACAGTGTCTTGGTATATTATATTTTTAGCAATCAATTGCCATGCTCTGCAGTTACAAGTAGATTTGATTTGTGCAGGTGATTTTTTTTCTGTTCTGTTTTATTATTTGTGTCATATTCTTGGTGCAATTGTCACTGATTTTTACTGTGTTTCTGTAGAATATCTTGTGTAGAGATTTTGATGAGGGGAAGTGTTTGTATATGAGTTTAATATTTTCCTGTCTGTTTTTACATTTTTGTTGTATGGTGAGTTAAACCATTTGATGTTTGTTTCTGTTAGGATTTTTTTTTTTTGTAGTGTGTTGTCAAAAATCCACTATCTGTTTCATAATCTTTTTTGGCTTAAGGACTTTGTGTCCCTTTAAATGGTAATTGCTTGCAAAATCAATATATACCAAGCCACTTTAAAATCAGATAACAAAGAAAAAATATACATAGAAGTAACTAAAGGACCCTGAAAACAGGAAATACACTATGGCAGACTTCAAGTTGCTCAGTTATAATAAGCCAAGCATGTTCTAGCTAAAAAGAAAATCTTGGTAGAGAAGAGTACACTTAAAATGAGTTTTCCTCAGTGACATTTCAAAGGGTCATTTTTATTGCATAGATAATGATGTCCTCAATATTCCATTAGTCAGAAAGATATTCTATTTGGATAACTTCTTCTATGAGCTACTATTTTATGGAGCAAACTCCTGAGAAGTTGCTTCCCTGATTACTTGCATCTTAACCTTTTCAAGTCTAGGGTCAACTATTACCTATTTTGCATATCCTTGTCATCTTCACTTATTTCCTCATTTGCCTTACTACGTCCATGCAACAACATTATTTAGTAACCCTCTGTCTTGAGTGACTCTTGGGCCTTGTTATGGGTGAACATTTAGTAAAAAAGATACACACAAATATACAAAACCTTCTTTTTCCAGAGTATTTTATTGTGCTAAAATCAAAGAAATTTATTATTTAGTTACTGCATCTTAGTACTGACTAATAGTTTGGTATATAGAATGTCTTACAAAGGTATTTTTGAGACAAGAACTCACTAATCATAACTCCTCAAATGTATAGCTCTAGTCTTCAGTAGTTAACCTCATTTTCTTATTGAAGGCAAGTGTTTTTTTTGTGGGGGGGATATTGAATAGGAAATTCAAAATTAACATGTTACCTACATTTAAAGACATGGCGTGTTTACTTGAAAGTCTTTGACCAAATGTAAAGAAATACGGTTAGAATATTCTATTTGATGCTATAGAATTGGATTTTAATTTCTGGGCAGGTCAAGATCCCACTAACATGGTGGTGGGGTAGGTTAGATTTGAGTTCATTCCCTTTCCTCCCCAGCTTTTTTTCCCCCCACAAAGGTTAGAAGTAAAATTCCTAATCTTAGTAAATGCATTGAAAATATTCCAAATGGACCCCAACAATTAACATTACATTTATAAGCATATAATCTGTGTGTGTGTGTGTATATATATATATATATATATATATATATATATATATATATATATATATATATATATATATATATATATATTGTTTTCATCAAGTTTGGTGTCTTTTTCATCATGCTATGCTTTTTTTTTTTTTTTTTTTTTTTTTTTTTTTTTTAGCAAACTCGTGGAGGTACTTTGTGTGTGTGTGTATATATATATATATATATATATATATACACACACAGATAAACAAATGTTAGGCAAAATAAGATAGAGAAGACATTGGAAAGAATTGAAAAGATTAAAGAGGAAATTGAAAAGTAACAGGATACCTACATTTAAGGACAGCATGTTTACTTGATTTGTATTTTATATATATTCTCTTGTATACCATTTCATTTGAAGGTATCACCATTTTTTTTCTTTTAAGTATTTATAAAGCATACGCATGGCTAATCTGTCATATAAGGGAGTGTGCTTGAATTCGTAAAAATGTTGATTCTGATGAAAGTAATTTTTTCTTATTTTTTCGGGTTCAAATATCACAATCAATGTGATTTGAAATTATTGACTTCTTCAATCAACCTAGGAATAGGCATACATTAACATAATAAAATGATATGAAGTAGAAATGCTTTTCTTATTTATGCCTTTGTTAGAATACTTTCAAACAGTGAGTTATTCAAACTGGTGCTCTCTTCTTAGTTACAAACTTTCAGCTGTTGTATCTTTTGGCTGCTTTTGGTTGACTTTCATACACTGCAACCTTGTGGAGAATTTTGAACTGAACACATTCAGAAGAATGTAGATTTTACTGTTCATGTTAGAAGATCTATTAAATTATTTAATTCTTAATTCATTAACTCAGTCGTTCAAATCACTTGGACTCCACTGAGGAGTATAAAGGCACAACCCCACCCACAACATGGTAGGCATTGTAACTGTTGTTTCTATAGCAACTAGGTTTTATCTCTTAGTTGCTAGCTCCATGTGTAACTGGTTTTGAATTCAGAGTTGCCATTCTCCTAGATTGGCTACCAACCAAGGCTGAAGATGCCAGTTTCACTTTTATTTAACCTATAACTGGGGAAAGAAGAGATGGTGTCCTTCCTTGACTGAAATTCAAACAAAGCTCTTATTTTTTTCTTACACATACATAACTGATTAATGCATATCATAAAATCTATTAACCATATAATATATATATATATATATATATATATATATGAAAATCTGGTTTTGTAGGTTTCACTAATACCCACTGCCTTAAAAATTGGGGCATTGGGAATTAATGGGTTCATAAATATATCATTATCATGAATTAGAACACCCGACTAGGGATTGAACTCATGACCCTTGGCTAACTGCATGTATTAAACCAAAGATTTTATCCATTAGAACTTTTAGTCAGAGTTGTGACTGTGACTATAATAAGATGAGGATTTCTAATTTTCTTTATTATATGTAAATTACCATGCCTTCTTGGGGAAGGTGGTGGAATGGTTTCCTGATGTCGTCTTCTCCACACTTTAGAATTCAGTGTTTTCCTTCTCTTAGACTGATTGCCACTCAAGAATAGATCTATCCTTTTATTTAACATGTATCTGGAAGATCAGATGGATTCCTGATTAACCCAAGTGTGAAAGTGAATGCAACTAAGCTGGAATTTGAACTTGTCAGGTTTTTATTCCACTTTCCCTGCTCAAATCTGTTACATGGCCTACTTATTCTTTACTAGTTGGAATAGATTGGTATAATAATGACTCAGATTAAAAACTAAATGGGGCTAATATTTGTATAACATTTTGAGATTTAGTTGAGCAAAGCTAATTTCTATGTCTATTTTGAATTCACAATTTTCTGTGCTTGGAAACCTTTTAATTTTTTAATTTTTTAATTTTTCCAATTGTGCTACCAACAAAATAACAAATGTTTTGAACATTGATTGAATATTTTAAAGCAGTATCATAACATGTTCTCTGTTCTATGCAGGTCACATTCTATTGTTTTAAAGTCTGTAAAACTTTTATTAAATCAATTATTATGTAGACAGAAGAAATTGTTAAGGCTTCAGGTGTTCTGTTTATAAAAAAAAAAATTATACCTGTATCAAGATATTACTGATACACACATATTTTCTTCATGTTTTTTTAGTCAGCTGTGCACAAATATTTTACATTGTTTGATCGAGTTCTGATAAGTGAGGAGTGATAACTGGTTAATCAGTCTAGTATTTTCTTTTATTAATGCTATTTTTTTGTTTTCTCTTTTTTTTGCATTGCCAACTATGGTAGTTGTTTTCACATTTTGTTGCTTTTAATTATATCTTTTCATTTTGCTATAATTAAATTTTATACCTCTAAGATTTTAAAGCAATGACAATTTGTAATCATAGTCACTAACTGAATTAACAAAAACAAAAGTCCAAAAGATACGAGACTGAAAACTGAATTGATTCTTGTCAACATAACTGATCAAAAGGTTTTGATATCAAGTTGGCCTCTACTGATCTAGAAAAATCTTATCTCTGCAAAACACCTGAACATTATTATTATTACCTCTACTCTTAAGTAAAATAAAAATAAATAAAAAGAAGTCCGGGTAAAAAGGCTAAAAAAAAGTCAGTAGATAAACATTAAATTCCCATGCTTTGTTAAGCATGACTTGAGTAGGTCATGTTTAAGCTGAATCTGACACAAGGCTGCAGTAGCGGAGCACTTACTGATGATTGAACTCACTAACAAAGCCTAATAAAACCTGCTTGTTAACACTCACTGACAGATTTTGCTCATTTTGACAACTAGATAACAGCTCATCGGTTCCATTTTAAATCCATCATATTAGTAATAATTAGTCCTTAACAGACCAACATTTTTATCAAATGTTTATATTTATACTAAAATTCTTTATTACTATGTTATTTGTGAATTCATGAGCTCAAGTCAACATTAGTGTTTGTATTTTTTTGTTTTTTTTTGTTTCGTTTTTTCTTCAATAGTGAAATTAATGTCTACTGGCCTTGATGTAAAAAGTCTTAAAGAAAATGTCAAGATCTACATTTAGTACTAAAGAATGTTTGCTCAAATGCCATTACTTACTTAAATTACTCTAATAAGTAACTTACATAGACAAATCAATAAGTTTGCAGCTTAATGATGCAACCTCCTCACTTTCTATCACACACACATACACACATATATATATATATATAATATACACACACACACACAGATTACGTTCAAGCATGAAACACTGTCACCACTTTGTGTTGACCTCAATGTCCACTTTTGTATTTATGTATGCTTTATCATGGATATTGACCACTTATACCTAAAAGTATAGCATATCTTAAAATTATATTTTTAATATATAATTTTTTTTCCTACAAGATACTGTAACTTTTGTAAGTATACAAATAGTATGTGAGAGACTTTCTGAATGTTAATCGACAAAAAGTAGCATGTAAATCCTGAATAGTAGTAGGATTAAATCTCTTTAATTAAAAAATCTAAAATCTCTTGGCAAATTCTTCAGCAGTAGTTAAATCAACAGACAAGGAGAACAAGAAAAATAATTTTTTTGTTTTTTGACAAGTTTTGGCACTTTCAACATTAATGTTACCCTTTTATTTTTTATTATTGAAATTTTTAACATTTATTATCGATATACTTTTTATTTTATTTTTGACAGATTTATCAACTTTATCACTTTTTTAAAGTTATTATTTACATATTAATGTGAATAAAGACAAAAGATAACTTACCTTAGCTAATGCATTTTGTCTTCTAAGGAACTTTATCAGAGGACGAAACACATCAGTTAAGTTTTTTCCTTTTGCCTTTATTCACATTGTCCTTTTACAGATACTCTCTATAAAATTAATGTTATTGTCATTTTGTTTTCTCCTGACATATTTCTATTGTTTATTGATATTAAAATTGACATTATTTTTTTATTGACACTTATTATGTCTTATATTATTAATTAATAATTAATATTATATTAGTGCATATTTGAACTGATTTTCTTTTACTGGATTAGTTTGCATTAATGATATTGACCAACTTACACTTAGCATTGAGTCATAGCTCAATCAACCTTCAGTACTCTCCTGTTTCTTGACTCCTCAAGAATACTTGTTTAATGGAGTGTCTTATCTGGGGTTTATTGATGGGCAAGAGAGGTGGGAGTTGGTATTGAGGATATCTTGAAAAGTGGGTAACTGATACAAGGGGACTGATCCAGAGAGAGAAAGTAGAAATTCTGAACATATAAATCATTTTTTTTTTTTTTTTTTTTTTTTTAAATGTTATCTTGTCTAAGTGAGCAGAGTTAAGTCTTGAAATTTGACCCTTGTTTTGTGGGGTCAGACCCTTTACAAAAAGTAAGCTCTTTCAGGTGTGCCTTGACATTCTTCTCTCCCCACTGGTTACTAAGGTTACCAATAACTTTATTTTACTGTGGGAAATAATTTATCGAACTTTGTATAATTTTTTATTTATTTTTTTCATCTAATCTAAGAGCTTAAGCCTTAAATAAAGATTTTTAAAAACAAAAACAAAAAAGCATGTGAAATGTCCTCAGCAATGAGATTCCTTGCTTTGCATATTTCCAGGTCACGCTTAGGCAGCCTTTCAACCTTTCTCTGCTATTTTTACAGTATATCAGATTTTATTATGCAAGTAAATATTTTCATAAAATTGGTAATGAACCAGTGTTGGTAAAATTTTCAGTATAGACTTTTATTGAGTTATAAGTGGTTAGTTAATATTACTATAACCATAAGATTTCTGTTTCCTTATAAGGAAGCAATTGGCATTCATTAACCGAGAATTTAGTCCTGTATGTGTCAAATTCTCCAAGCCCTCTTTCTTCATTATGTGCCCTAGAAATTTCAATTATCTCTTTCTTATGTTAAGTATAAGCTGTCCTTTTGGTTTCCATTTTCTCTAAAATTTTGTTGTTGCTCACATATTCAGTCAGATGCTATTGTCAGCATTCTTTTGTAGAAGCACACTTCTGTTGCCTCAAGTCTCTTCATCTGTGAGGAGATTGTCCAGCATTCACTGTTATATAGGAGGACTGATATTACCTAACAGTTCAGTAGTCTTTTGGTTTGTTTTTGGTTTCTTGGTTTGTTTTTGGTTTCTTGGTTTGTTTTTGGTTTCTTGGTTTGTTTTTGGTTTCTTGGTTTGTTTTTGGTTTCTTGGTTTGTTTTTGGTTTCTTGGTTTGTTTTTGGTTTCTTGGTTTGTTTTTGGTTTCTTGGTTTGTTTTTGGTTTCTTGGTTTGTTTTTGGTTTCTTGGTTTGTTTTTGGTTTCTTGGTTTGTTTCTAGTGAAATTTTTCTATTTCTTAAATCTATGCTTAGATTTTTTTGAAGGCATTTTTCGCTATCCCAATGTATCTTTGGATTTCAGTGTTGCATTTCCCATTATCTGATAAAACATATCCTAGATATGTAAATTTTTGCATAGGGATAAAAAAGGATAGTAAAAGATAGGAAGTTGTTGGAGAGCCATGATTATTGAAGGGACATTATACAGATCACACTGACCTTCAGTGAGATTCTGCTGTCATTAAATTCCATCTTGTCCTCATAGATATTCATCATGACTGCACATTGTTTTAAATAAAAAGAAAAAATCCTTTTGTTTAACTGTCTAGAGGTTTTGAGAATTTGAAAATATTTTTAGATACTGAATTTATTTCAATGTTATGGAGTGAGACTTGCTCTGACGAGTTAAAAAAAATGTTTAAAAGGTCTGGGTTTACGGTCATACAAGTTCTCATCTGATTGCAGATGTTAAGCAACGATCCTTGTCAGTACCTAGGTGGGTGATTGCTTTGGGAATATTGGGTGCTGTAAGCTTAGATATATAGTGTTGTCATGTATAATGGCTCAAAACTGGAAAGGCAAGTTCCAATTTCAGTCAGCTTCATTATATTCACTTGCATGCTAATACCCTTGGGAAAGGTATGAATCCACCTCCCTCCCCATCTATGGGTTAAATAGGACTTTTACACTTTATCTCCAAAATTTCTTACAATCCCAAAATATTTTCTAACTTTAAATAACCCACAAAAAGTTAAGTCATAAAAAAAAAACAACTCTGATCTATCTATAGATGTTCTTGTTTCCAAAAAGCACAAAAAATGGTTATAAATTTTAGGGTGTCTTTTGGCATTTTGTAGCTCTGGTTTCTTTCTTTCTTTTCATTTTCTTTTCTTTCTTTTCATTTTCTTTTCTTTCTTTTCTTTTTTCCTCTTCTTTCTTTTCTTTTTTCCTCTTCTTTCTTTTCTTTTTTCCTCTTCTTTCTTTTCTTTTTTCCTCTTCTTTCTTTTCTTTTTTCCTCTTTCTTTTCTTTTTTCCTCTTCTTTCTTTTCTTTTTTCCTCTTCTTTCTTTTCTTTTTTCCTCTTCTTTCTTTTCTTTTTTCCTCTTCTTTCTTTTCTTTTTTCCTCTTCTTTCTTTTCTTTTTTCCTCTTCTTTCCCTTTCTTAAACTTCAGGTTTGGTCAACTGTTAATGTCATTGAACTTTTGAAAACTGCATCTGGGAAAGTATGAGCTGAGAAATTTAAGACAAATTTGGCATGAAATAGAAATTTAGTTCAGATTACTATGTTTTAACATTGAAAATTGTGGCAGTTTCTCTACAATTGAAAACAAATAAAATTTTTTTTTTTTTTTTCTAGTATCGTTTCATTCATTGTTCTAAGTTATCCTTTGGAATTAATGCACTGCTCACATTTCTTCTTGAATTGGTTGACTGTTATCTTTATGGTTCTATTTAATGTATTTCAGTCATTATCCTTGCTTAATTTTTGTTTTATAATAAAAAGTTGTGAGTGGTAGTATTTAAAAAAAAAAAAAAAAAATTAGGATGCGTTAATTATAATTTCCATGTAAACAATATCTTGGTAGTAGAATCCTGTTATAATTATGTTTGTTCCGTATGCATATGTTACACCCTGCCAATACCTAAAAAATAATGGACTATTCTATTTTAATTGTAATGAAAGACACAAAAGGCCTATCAGCTGTATGGTTTCAGTGAGAAAAAGATAACCCTCTCCTTTTCTTTTTTTTTTTTTTTGTTAATATCTACTTTAGTGGAATTGTCAAACTTGTAAATTACAATTTTTTTTTCTTAATTGCACCCACTTACTTCTATGGATAGTTTAAAATCATCGAAATTGCAAGGAGCTTATTTAATTATTAACTTAAGAATTAAACAATAATTAGTTTTCATGGGTACTGTCATAAGACATGGAAGAGCAGTGTAGCTTATGATGTGTTATTCAGTTTAGAATAGTCTGTTAGAAGAATGGATAATATTTATAATAGTTTGGTTTAGGAGAGTTCTTTCTGAAAGGGAGATAATCTCTAATATAAAGCAAGGCTCCTAAAAAGCCAAACTTAATTTAAAGGTTTATACTGACTTTGAAAAGTTCATTGTCCTCCTGTCAAGGCTGATTTTTAACTATGGTGAGATTTAAACCTAGGTCTCATGATTGAAAGACTAACAACTCAGCTATGTGGCCACTACATACATTTACTTATTTTTTTTTATGATTAGGTTACTGGTTTTAAATATTTTTGATAAATCTTAAATGTATTTTTGTCAACATGTTTAATGTATCTGTATTTTTTTATTAAATGCATTAAACCTGTTCATAGAAAATTTTTTTATATATATATATATATATATATATATATATATATATATATATAGTATTCATCAAACAAGTTTGATTAAAAAGAACCAATAAGATCTGTCTGCTTAATTTATCAAATTTTACCAATTTTCAAATAAGATGTTTCATATTGTAATTGAAATTTTACCTTGACAGTTTTTCCACAATTTCCATCATGATACTCAAACCCTTATTCAAAAATTGGAAAAAATCAATAAAAAGTGAAACAGACAAACCTTGTTCATTCTTTTTAATCAAACTTCTTTGAATATATTCCTATTTTTGTGAATAAAGACAAAAGGAAAACTTAACTTATCTGAGCCGGCACATTTCAACCTCTGAGGAACTTTATCTAGGTATAATAAAGGATTTTATTTTATAACAATTATTTATGTAAATGAGCAAAAATGTTATTGTTTTTACAAAATATTTAAGTTTAAGAACACTCATAAATATTCATCATAAATACTTGTTACAAAATAAAATCCTTGCATTTGTTTTGATAAAGTCCCTTTGAGAACAATATGTGTCAGCTAAGTTTTCCTTTTTTTTTTTTTTTTGGCTTTTTACAGATATACTCTACCTGAAATTTTACATATTTAAGCTTACATCTATACAAATAAATGCAAATGTCAGTGTGTCACACTTTTTGAAGTTTACTCCAGACCTGCAATCCTGAAATTTTGGATTCCTGAGTTTTCATTACTGTGATTTTATTTTTTTTAATTTTTTTAAATTTATTTTTCAAATTTAGAAATAGATTATACCAAAAGTAAGGACCTATGTCTACCAAATTGTCTTTAAATTAAGTGGCAGCAGAAGAATTGTTAAACTTTTTAAAAGGTAATCTTAAATATTAATTCAATACTTAAATGCAGTGATCAATTTTGACTTCCGTAGTTTGTTGCCTATTGCATACGGCAGCAGAATGCCTTGCAAAAAGAAATTTCCACCAACAGAGAACAACATTACAATCAAGAGCCAAGACTGCAGGAAGGAAAAAGTTCTATGTAAAAGAAAACCCAGATCAAACAGCTGCCAGAAGAGCTTCCAATGCTGAGAATATGCAAAAAATTAGGGACTCTCAAACTCCTGAACAATCCAAAGACCCAATCAAGACTCCTCTGCAGGAGATAGCTTAAATCCTGCCCAATAGGGTGGCTTTTAAGCTAGTGTGTAATATAAGCCAAATATTATTAAACCCTTTTAAAAGCAAACCGGTTTTGCAAATAAACTAATTGCATAAAAATAAATGCTTTCAAAAAAATAAGTCAGGTTCATGCAATTTTTGCTCTTGTTTCTTATAAAGAAATAATTTGTAGCAGTTTGGTATATTTCTTAAAAAAAAAAGTAGGAATCCTTTAGGAATGGTCAATCTTTAAATTTCTTGACATCATATCTTGTCTCCACCTTTTTATTTTTGTTCAAAAATGAAATGTTGAATTGAGGCAATTCTATATATATTTTTAATCATGATTGTGTAACTTGTTATTTATGTATACAAAGAATTCTTGAAGGAAATTGGCTGGTTAGATTCAGAAAAAAATTGCATATGCATTCATTCAAATGTATTTGTGTATGACAGGAGAAAGTATAACTATTTGTATGTTCTTTTTTTTGTATATTTGTAAATATTTATATGATATGTGAGAGGGCTGAAAATTTGGATTTTAACAGACTTTCCAAAATCTGTATTCTGATGTTTAGCCATTGAAATACTGATTTTGGTAAGTGATTTTGGCTTAGAATTTTTCAGCACCTCCTTTGTAGACATTATTTATGTAATAGTATAAAAATGTATATATTTTTTGGTTGGTAATAAAGATAAGACTGTAAATAAAAATAGCAAATATAGAACAAATAAGTCACAATGACAATTTAATTTTCAGTATATCCTCCATTTTTGTGAATTACTTCGAAAATTTGCTTTGGCATACTCATTATTAACTTCTACATGAGGTTGCTTGGGATGCTTGCCTGGGATGCATGAACTGCACCACAAAGAGCATCCGCAGTTTCAAATTGCAATCCATGTTTATAAACATCCTTTGCCATCCATCCCAAAACATTCTCGATTGGGTTTCGATCTGGAGAGCATTGTGGATTGCAGCATTGTCCTGCTAGAAAATCCATTTTTCTCCACATAGATGAGGGCCTTCAGTAATTAGCGATGCCTTTCTTAACATGTCAATGTAACTAGCAGCTGCTTGACGACCTTTAACCTCCTGTAACTCAAGAGCTCCATTGTACAAAAATGAACCCCCAGACCATAATTGATCCACCTCCACTGTGTCATGTTGAGAAAATTTCTTTTGCGACATCTTTTGCATGCCAGTAATGCTGTAAACCATCTGCATCATTAAGATTTCATTTTTTCTCATCTGAAAACAACACTTTCTTCCATTTATCCACATCCCAAGTTTGATAATCAGAAGCAAATTGTAAACAGGAGGTTTTATGGCAAAGAAGAATGCGAGGCCTCTGCAGCCGTTTCAAGTTCTTAAAACCTTTCTTATTTATATGCCGTCAAATTGTTCGAGAGCTGCATTCAGAATCTGTATTTGCTTTTATCTGATTTGATGTTAGGTTTGAATCACTCTTAACTTCTTGCCTAATGCGTCTGTCTAGAGATGGTGAGATTTTATTGGGGTGACCACTTGATTTTTGTTTTTAGAAGTATACACATCCAGATTTTTAATGAAGTTAGTAATGACAGTTCTGCTATGACCAATTTCATTTGCAATGGCTCGTTGTGAAAGACAAGTCTTTGAAGTTCAACAATCCTGCTGTATTCGAACTTTGTTAAAATTTTAACCTTAGCCATTTTAAAATCTGAAATTTAATACTGGAAATGAGCTACGTAGATGTCTACACACCTGAAGCTATGAGCATACTGACTAGTTCTAAATTTTTTATCCAGTAATTTTTTTTTTCACACATGGTCTTATCTTTATTACCAATCAAAAAAATTTAAGTTAAGATTTTGACCAGGGGGTGTATTTGTGTGTGTATTGCATTTTTTTTTTTATTTAGTTTTCTTGAATTTGCAGGCACATAGATGAAATAAAATACTGTTTTTTATTTCATCTAAATAGTGTCTGCTCAAATACAGGCTTGTAATAAAATGTTAGATTAAAAAATAAAATCGATTAATTCTTTAGAAATTGCTTTGTTTACATTTTAGATAGGAAACTGAGCAGTTATAACTGAGAAAATCTAAACAAGTGAGTGTGCTTTAAAGGTGAATAGAACCTTGCTTGGTTGTGAAGCTCTTTGTAGCTGAGTGGTCAAAGCATGCCAGTTAGTGGACATTGAGATCAGCAGCGACAGTCGATTTCATGCTCAAACACAATCTTCATGCCATGTGTATTGTTTTGGCTTGACTATTTGACTATGGGTAGGTTTGTTGTACTATCCTAACTGTTTTTGGGAGGGCAGTAATGGTTAGATATATTCAAGAAGGTGCTGAAAAGTTAATGATCCAATCAAGAATTCCATCCAACCCTCCAAAAGTTAGGCTCAGAACTTTTTAGCATCTCATATACATATACACCCACACATGCTAACTCACAATATTTTAAAAAGAATCTCTAAATGACTTCTGGGGGCACCTACATATCTTTCTTTAATGTGCCAGGCAGGAAACTGTTGTAATGAAAAACTTTCAAAAACATGCTTTACTAATCTCATTGTCCCACAGATTATTTCTGAAAGAATTTGATGGTATTAAATAAACTCTTGTTAACAACTTATTCCATAACTATAATATCAACCAACAAGTAAAAAACTTAATACTCCCTGCCATAATCATTGAAACATAGACTCCATTGACCTTAACAAATGTATCTGGTTGACTATCTGTTGTAAAATATTAAAGATATATAACATATGTATATATTTTCTTACTCTTGTGGCAGTGGGCACTTCTGGGGTTATTGGCCTTCGTTCAATGGCCTTCCTTCGGAAGCTTGGCTGGATGGCGTCTCAATTAAGGGATGAGCTTCATGAAATGGAGTGGCTCTTGCAGTGTGTCTCACTGGTGATGATGCGAGGTAATGCTTTCTCCATCACTGTGGCTGGCAGAGGATAGCAAAAAATTAAAAATTTTGTTTATAGTTACTTTGTTAAAGAAATAAATTACCATTTTTTAAGTTAACATTTTTATTTTATTAAACGTATTGAATTTTATTGTCCACTAATCCTTAAGATGAAAAACAACTTTAAAAGCCAAAATAAACAAATTTTCATGTCCACTTGAAGATTACATTTGTCTTTTGATGATTTTTTTTTTTTTTTCTAATTTCATCCCAAGCAAAGCAATAATTCTACTAAAACACAAGGGCTTTCTGGGAGTAAAAGAATTAGACTTTAGAAGGAACCAGAAACCTAATCCTAAACAAGGAATAAACCTCTACTCCTGTACAACAGATGGGGAAGGATACTACAATTTTTTCTTGCAAATTGCCATTTATTTGACCAAAGTGCAATAAAATCACATCATAAAAATATTTTTACTATATGATACTATATTTTTACTATATGATCCATAATAGTCAATATAACTTGCATCTTTTACCACATCAGATGCAAGGATACTAAATTGTTGAAGTTCTTATAATAAAGAACAGAAATTAAACAAGATTTCCTTTAGGAAATGGGATACTGAATATTTTAATAATTAATTTAAAAAATAAAAAGCTAATCTCTACTGTGAGATCATATAGTTTTTGAAATTTCAACTCTCTCTTCCTGATGTTAAGAGATTGAACTAAAAATTACTATCTCACCAAATGCAAAGAACCAATGCTTTAGGTTATTCTGGATTATTTTGTATGAAATTTTAAAATTTATTTGTCCTATATTTTTATAAGAATAAGAATATTTTTTTCTCATAAATTCTTCCTATTTAACAATGTTAATTCTATAGTTGACTGTTATCTGTAAATTTAAATTCTGTTTGCTTCTCCCACTGAAAAAACGTGTTGACTTTTCTTTCACCTTTGCCATGAATGCCATTTAATAAACTTCTAAGTGACAAAACTTTTTTTTTAATGTCTTTGGTTTTATTACATTTCTTTTACTGTTGCTCTATTGCTTTGTTGAACATGTAGAACAAAAAATCTTTTTTATCTTCCTGCTTCAGATTTGATTCTCCTCACATCAACAACAATGCCATTGGTTAGGCAAGAGGCTGCAGCTCAAAATATGAAACCATTGGACCTGAAAAGCCCCGCCCAGGGCAAGGTGTACAAACGTGACCCAGACAAGAGGTATGTGCACATTAGAATCTGACTTCTGAATTGGATGGATTTGGGACATTTGTGTATGTGCATGTCTTTTCCTTGTGTGGGTATTTATTTTATTTTATTTGAGCCTTTCTGGTTGCCAGGTGATGACACTGCACAAAGAGTAGAGCAAAATCAGGGAAGGGCACAGGTATATGTAAAGTTGTGCACGTGTGTGTGTGTGTATATATATATATATATATATATAAGTGGGTGCGTGCACACAACTTTACATATACCTGTGCCTTCCTAGATATATATATATATATATATATATATATATATATATATATATATATATATATATATAATATAGATTGTTTGGTATGTGCTTTCTGTTTCTTCATAATGATGTCAGATTATTTAGGCTTTTGCTTTGAGAAGAGAAGGGCTAAAACTATTTACAACATCTGTATGCGTGTACATACATATGCCTGCATATATATATATATATATATATATATATATATATATATATATATATATATATATAATGTGTGAGATGGGAAAATTGTTGCCATTTATGTTTTTAATTTTGTGCATGTGCATTGTTGGTTTGTTTTTCATTTTGTTGACTGCACAGTATAGTATGGTCAGTTGGGCACTGACCGTGAGAAAAAGAGCACCATGATACAATTCACTCTGCCAGAAATTTGGAAACCATTTGCTGTACTGCTTGGTATTTGTGCCAGAGGCTCAAATGCAAGCATTTCAATGTTTGGGTGTCAATTTGTGGACCATGCAGAAAGTTGGAGGAGTCTAATAGTGATTACAAATGTATGGCAGCTCCGAAAACTCACTCTGATTGTTCTGATAAAAGAACTCTTGAATTTGTTAGTGTCTCAGACTCAACATGTAGGCCTACATCATATGATTTTTTTTCACTTGATGGGTGTTGTATTATCTGTTTATATCTTTAGTTTTTTTTTTTTTTTTTACCGTTAAGTGGTGTAGCGTTTCTTGGTGATTGTTTGCTTTGTATTATACATAAATACAAAAAGGTTGAAGTAACAGCAGAGAAGCCAATAGCTCTGAAGAGTGAAATCATCACAACAATGCTCTCATGAAACTTCAAAGTTGGCATGACTGAAATAACGCTACTCAGTTAAGTGACAAGTTTCTCCACTCTGTAAGTGCTAGTCATATCATGATTGCATCTAGCAAGAGAGCACATGGAGCCCCACAGCATCAATTCAAAGATCAGCTCACAAACACCTTGCTGAAGACAGAAATTGATCCGGTTAATTGGGAGATGGAGGCTGTAGAAAGAACTAATTGGAGAAGAGCAGTCCATGAAAAAACAACATCCTTCAAAAACACCAGAAGACATATAGAAGAGATGAAGAGAGCCCAAAGAAAAGCCTGAGCTCTCCATTCCCTGAAAACCTCCTATCCTATGATGTGATGGCTGCAGACATCTCTTCAGATCCAACATAGAACTCCTTTCACATAGAAGGTAATGTTGATGAGCACCCCAATACTTGGCAATGAGTACTGCCAATGGGGACCATGTAACTCAGTAATATCTGCTGCATGATTGGGTTATTGGCTTGTTCTCCTAGCAGGCTTTTCCAATGAGGAAGTGTGATAAACAGTCATGTAGAAGCAAGCGAGCCAGAGTGTCTTGTATCTAGCGCAAAGGAAAGTGCGGTGCATGGCATTGGCTCCTTGAAAATGGCATTACTCTCCCATCTAGCTATTCCAGTTAACAAGGGGTTTTTGTACAGTTTGGCATGCTTCGACCAATAGTAAGTCATGTGCTGATTGATCAAACTGGAGGAGGCTATTTGCCTGGGTAACTGGGAATAAAAGCGAAGAATGCTGATTGGTTGGTTGGCCGCAGTTTTGCCCTGATAAAAGAGGGCTGAAGAAGTGAGAAGGGGAAAATGGGTTTACATTTTGAAATGTATGGAAGGCAAGAACAGCAGATTGAACTAGCTGTATCTTGAATTGTATGAATGACATCCGAGTAATAAATTCATTTAAACTACAGGAACCAGGAATAAAAACAAATCTCTTCACTTACGTTTTTTTAAATGTTTGTGTTCTTAGCATAATAATAATAAGTACTAAGTGTTGATATTTCATGTAAAATTTCTACTTGCACACCACCACCTTCTTTACTTCCATATATATTATGTCTGATGCCCATTTGGGGTGATTATGTCTCTTTTTAGTTTAATTGACTTGGCAGAAGAATACCAACAACAAGCTGCCATTACTTTCTGCAGTAGATTGGTTGCCAATATAGAACTTAGTTTGTCCTGCTATTTAACCTATATCTGGGGGTAATAAGTGGATTTGTGCATGAGTGAATGTAACAAACTCTACTGGAATTTGAACTTGGCTCTCTGATTTCTCATTCAGAGCCATTATCAATTACACACCCCCACACATCCAAGCTTACAGCAGCTGGTATTTGCAATACCTATCAAGGTACTGACCAGGCTTGATGCTTCTTAACTTTGATGATAGGACGAGAATCAGTTTTTTCACCATGATCTGATCATAAGGTTACAACATTACTACCTTACTTAAATAATTTTAGCACTCTTAATACCAAATTTGAATGTGAACAATAATTTTTAGTACAAGCATCAATAAAAGACAATGTCACAATTATTAGAACTTAATTAGATGTCATTAGAGGATGCATTTCCCTCTGAATTTCTCAGATGAGGATTTATCATTATTTATACTCAGATAATTGCCCTTATTTTAGCTTTTATCACTTATTTACTTGAGGACTAATATTTTAATCTTTGTTCTTAATATCAGCACTTTTTGGCCATTGTGTCCTCTACCCTTCACAAGGAAATAGGCATGTGGTTTGCGAATTTGCTGACTTAAGTAATTGTGTGTTCAATTCTTGGTTTGGGTAGTGCAGACTTAGGAACAGTGTAAGAACAAGATATTCTGAAACATTGACAGTGGGACAAGAACAATTTACACGCATAGATTAAATAAAGGGTTAAATTTTAAAATTCCTAGATGGTTACTTGTATTGACAAGCAGCTGAAGAAGGCTGGAAAATCCAATGGTGGAAACATTTTAATAACAAAATGTAGACAATAGTCTGAGTGTAAATAATGTAAATAGAAGCTTCATATTTGGATTTTACCAAATCTGCTAATGTTTTTGTCAAGCAAGAATTTCAGATGCTAGGAAGATGATATTAAGATTCTTATAATGATGGTATAATAGTAGAAAATAATTAATAATCAGAATGAGTTGACATGTGGTGTTGACACCAGAAACCAGAGAAGAAACTCACTATGTTTTCCTGGAAAGAATAATCATGCAATTAGATAACAATCAAGATAGTTTAATATGGAACATTTGGGGAGAAATTTTGGGGGAACATAGGAAATGATTTCACTAGTAATGTTAAGCATTTAATAATAAACTGAGCTACTTGCCTAAAGGGAAAAAAAGTCATGAATTTAACAATATCAGTAGCTTCAGAAACAAAACTTTTTGTTTGTAAGGGCAATTAATACTAAATAATTAATACTAAATTCTGACCTGGTGACAGTCATTGCAACAGGTCAATTGCATTTTGTCTCATTTTTTTTTCTTTAATCTTTACTAGTGCCAAAATGTGCTGTATCTATAAAACATTAATTCCATATTAAATACTAGCATGATGCCCATAAAAAAAAAATGAAAGTATTATTTACATATGAATTATCACTTCTGTCTATAATTAGAGGGACACTGCAGAGGGTCAAAATATAACTCCCCAGCATGTTTGACTAGGATTAAAATGTATCTGTGTACACTTGGAAAAAGTGCCACACACACACACACACACACTCTTTTGTTTGTGGGCTTTTTATATAGGAAATCTGTAGTTATGACTATTGACATCGGGGAAAGGGATTCTATTAATTTTAAGTTCATAAGTAAAATGTATGATGGAGTTATTCTCAAAGGTTTCTTTTAAAAAATTTTTTTATTTTGTCTTGGGTGTTTGATTAATGATATGTCACTGACATATCAAACCTGTTAGGCTTGGCAAAATGATTAACGTTTTTGTCTTCTACATGGACCATGTAGAAATTACATAATATTGGACTGTAATGTGAACCCATAGCTGACAGTCTATGTAAATGTTGCTATAACAATTATAAAAAGGTACTTGTGTCATGCAAGATAGAGGGAGTTTGTGGAATTATTGGTCTAAGATTATTCCTCACCAATTATTCTAACATTATTAAACCAACAATTCTATGTAAACTTCTATTATGCATGACACAAGTATTTTTTTTTTTTTTTAAAGTATTTTCTGGCTTTAAATAATCTGAAAAGAGTAAGCTGTAAAAGATGCTTTAATCAATCAATCAATCCATTTTGATGATGACAACAGTATTTATGCAATTGACCTGTTGGATAGGTGTGTATAAAAACTGTTCTCAAAGAACGTGGTTTGAAACAACAGGATATGGCCTTGCACCTCTGAAACAAGTGTTCTATATATGGAAACTCTCTCTCTCTCTCTCTGGATAAATGCAAACGAGTTCCTACACCTACAAATATAAAAATAAAAAGAACTGCTATTGAGACAGTATGGCTCAACATCTTTTTTTTTTTTTTTTTTTTTTTTTTTTTTGTCCTTTCATATATTAAATAATTTATGTTTCAGCTGGTCTTGAAGTATCATTCAGACTTGTCAGGATGAAGTCCATACTTTTATTTTTAAACTTGTGGACTGGTACTACAGAAGCCCAAAGCAACAACTGTACCAAACAGCAAAAGAACTACACCATATCACTTTCAATAGCAGCATCTAAAATACATATCCCGTATAACTCAGAGAAAATGACAGTCAAGATGCTGATGTTCCACTCGACTTCAAACAAAAGGTTAGGAAGGAAATCCCCCATCAATATTGCAAAGAGAGATAGGCTTGAGAAATCTATTTTCCTGAAAAACTGTTTTAAAAAAAAAAAATTATTTTTTACAAATTTCCACCAAAAGCAGTA